CTCTCTTTTGCTGACTTCTCCCCCATAGCCATGAGTCACCTTCTCAGGGCTAAGTCATTAGCTTCATGAGGGTCTTGCTCTCTGCCAGCCCACATGTTGGGAGGATCTCACCATGGTGGGCGAGAGTCATGTGTCGGTCCACCACATGACAGCGGGGCCCACCATACCTTTAGCTCCTAATATAATTAAAAATAAATAAATAAATAAAAAACCGAGCTACACAAGTACTAAATCTTTATCCTAAATGAAAGAGAGCTTCTCTGAACATCTATTCCTCCTCCCGAGGTCCCAGTACGTGAGGAGGAAGGTGAGAAAATCTGATACTCTATCAGGAAAACCAGTAATTATTAGTATTTGTAGATGCAGGGAACAAGGGTTCCATCTAGTGAGGAATCTTGGTACTGCAACTGCGGGATGGTCAGCTAAAGACTCATGGATGGTGTGGTGTTAATTTTGCACAAACTTGACGTCATGTATTTCACGTCAAATGGAGTGAAGTCTAGTTTATGTAAAATACGCGTACACTTTGGTGACGTAAATATAGGAACGTAAATTTTTCGTTAACGTGATGTCATTTTCATGGTAATCGCAAGAAATTTACATTGTTAGCAAAGAATTGATATCTTGTTTACGTAAACATGCTGCTTGGGCAAAGTCGGGTCTTCGTTGAGCGAGGAATGATTTTTCAACATAGCAATGTTGTCACAACTGCGTGTTAGAGGTGGATTTAATGTTGCCGTAATATTGAAATGAAACACAGGTCAACGTTGAAAATACGATCATGTGTCATGTTGTGTCGGCGTTGAATTGTCGACGTTTGGGCATTACCTCCTCCTTTCTCGAGCCTGAGCGCATAATATGGAATTGAGCTTGAAAGTACTCTAGTGAGCGCAATTATACTACGGAAGGCTCTTTTCGAGTAGCTTCCTTTACTGGATCAGAACTCGAGTTTCATACTCGAATGACGTACCTAATTCTGTCTGGCAAAGGAGTCACATGCCTGGCATCACCCCCAGATGCATCGCTCATGTAAGAGAAATGCCAGACACACCCTCGCCAATCTTAACGCGCTCTCATTCTCGAAAGAGGTATCAGAGCCCTTGTAACTGGGTTCGCCATGAAGCGAGGTAGCCAAATTCGGCATGTCTTCTCGGACCCCCTTCCCAGAAATACCTGGAGTCACCTTATGCCAGGTTACCTCCTTCACGAGGTCTATCGAGGAATTCAAAAGCCTTCCTTCAAGTGGGACGTGGGAACAGATCGGGTACTATATGAAACATAGAGGAAAATGTATTTTTCGTGACACCAGGGTGAGAATCGTTAAATTGGCAGTAAGGCACCATCTCGGGTCGATTGGTCGACCTACCTTCTGTCAAGATGATGATGGATATCTCCATTTTGAAACAACATTGAGACTATTATGGAGGCACAAGTGAAAAATGAATTTGCACTCAATAGCTTTCAAGTGACTTCCCTAATCCATGAGTAGTGTCTCAAAATTTCATTGAATACTTCGTATTCTTCGCTGAATTCTCAAATTCAACCATGTTTCAACACTTCAACCTTTGGTCAACGTTGATCCAACGTTGTTGTTCCGAATAGGTAGAATATCCGTGGTACTCTGGCATACATCGGATCCCTGTAATAAGTCTAGGCAGAGCATCGTATTCAGCCTAGCCTGGTCTCATTTGTTATCATGAGATTATCTTTTCCTTCCTGTCTTATCTGTTCCCTAGGAAAATGTCAGCAAAAAGCTTAAAGGAAATGTGTGCTCATGCCGATAGCCAATATGATAATAGAGCCGAGGGTGAAGAGGACGACGAACACTTCTCAGTACAACTAAGAATAATGTTAACTCCGATGAGAAGTGAAGTGTACAAAACTGACGCCATACAATGGTCACGAAGCAGTTATCAGATGGCGTCAGTGCACTCTCAACTCAGATTGAAAACAGCAAGATCAAATTTCAACATGTTTGCAATATGAAACGAATTCAAATAAAGGAGATCGGGGGTTTTCTAATTGTACAAGGTATATTATACAGGAATTTGGGTCCAAAATTCATATGAAAGGTCATCCGGGTCAGGTCAAAGGTCAACTCAGAAAAAAAAAGTTTGCACCTCTTCAATACATTAGAAAACGAATGAGCTATCGTTGAAAGAAATTAGTTGAGAAACGTAGGAGGAGTTCACCGGACAAAATCCGCTCAGACATCTGCAGGTCGCCACGTATGGAGAAGATATGCCTAGTTCTGGCTCTACTGTGTGAGGAATTGTGTTGGTAATCAGTGATACTCCTTCATCATAATAGATTACAACCTGATGCAGCCACTTTCTTTCTTGAATCCAAGGAGTTTGATTAGGTGTCATCCAGACATTTGGCACACCTCTAGGTCAAGTCGAAGGTTTCTGACCCAACGTGGTGCCAATCTAGAATGTGACATTGCGGCAAAACACAAAATGACAAATGAAGCCGAACGGTGCTCTCCGATGAAACATGATAACGATTGCTCAGAAATACAGGTTAAATATATTGTTTATTTCCATGTTCAGGCCGTTACAATATGCACAGAAAAGTTGCAATCTTCGGTGGGAACACTAATGCGACCAAGGGGAAGAGGAATATAGGGTCATTGGATATGGTCACCAGCATTTGCTCAATAGCTACATTTGCTCAGTGTAACCTCCCTTCATGTCTACGATCGTTTGCATTAGGGATAGGCAATGATAGAGGGCTGACCGAAGTTGTTCAGCTACCAACGGTTGCCACACAATGGCGAATAGCACGTTTGAGATCAATTAAGGTGGCTGGTGCCACACGATGCACAAGTGTGGAGATATCCCCAAAGCTAAAAATATGCTGGGGTGAGGTCGATCAAACGGATCGGCCACCTGTGCGAAAAATGGCAGCTGATAATCCGGTCACCAATGGACATCTACAAGAGCACTTTTACAGTCTATTCAATGTGAGGAGCCCTGTTTTGCACCGAGATTGTTTCTTGCAAAACGTCACAGTCCTAAAGTGTGGGGATGACAACATCTACAAAAATTGATCGATAACGTCCCTTACGAAAATGTCTTTTAGGAACCTAAAGGAATCCTATAGGAACCTAAAGGAATCCTATAGGCCTATGGGACCTATAGAGTTCCTTATAGAACCTATAGAGTCCCCTATTGAACCTATAGAGTTCCCTATGAAACCTATAAATTCCCCTATAGAACCTAAAGGGTTCCCCATATGGCCTAAATGTTCACTTAAGGACCCAAAGGGTTCTGTATAGGACCCGTAGGGTTCCCTATAAAACCCATAGGGTTCCCTAGAGGACCTGCATGGTTCGCTATAGGACCTATAGGATTCTCTAAAGGACCTATAGGGTTCCCTATAGGGCCTATAGGGCACCCTATAGGACCTATAGGACCTATAGGGTTCCCTATAGGGATTATACGGAACCCTTTAGCCTATAGGGTTCCGTTTGAAGTTCTCCTCTAGGCCACTAGATGGAAGTATTGGGTTCTCACATTTCTCAAAGAGCATAAAAGTACCCTCCCCTTACCCAAGGAAACATCTCTCAGCAGAGAGATTTGTACGTCCCCTAATGTCTCGCCTTGCCTCTTTGTAGCAATCAATTAACTTTGACAGTTCTTAATTTGTCATGCCCAACTTCCAGGTATAATCATGGTGTCACGGAAGAAATATACCCTTATTCTTTTTAAAGACCACGTACGAAACTGAGTTGACTATCCAAATGGAGTTTCAGTAAAGAGACGGGCTCGCTGGTTCTGTCTTCTATTTCCTTAGGTCGAGAGAAGAATACTACTTCTTCCTAACTAAGGAAGTAGATGTACACTCCAGCGACGCATGTAGGTCGGGGCCATAAATTATGCAGACCCACGCAGTATAGGTATTAATAATACCTATACTAAAAAAGGATATGTCCCTACCATGGAAAAACCCCTAATCGGTTTTTTATTTACACCGAAATGCTGCGCCAATATTAACCCTGGTCGCCTTTTCGTCGTAATGCCTAGGTTTCGAAACCCAAAATATCCTCCCCGAATCCTATAGGTCAGGAGACCTATAAGACCCTATAGGGACCCTATAGGGATCCTATAGGATCCTAAAGGATCCTAAAGGGTCCTATACGTTTTTCGTGTTTCAAAATCCTATAAGAAAGTCTATAGGTTTCCTATAAGAAATAACTATAGGNATAGGGATCCTATAGGATCCTAAAGGATCCTAAAGGATCCTATACGTTTTTCGTGTTTCAAAATCCTATAAGAAAGTCTATAGGTTTCCTATAAGAAATAACTATAGGTTTCCTATAGGACATTTCCGAAGGGGTTCGCTGGTCACTGAAGCAACGGACAGCCGAGATCGGCTGTCCGTTCATTCCTCAAGGAAATGTGGCCCAATAATGACGTTGCTTTTGAAACCATCACCCACGCGGTATGCCATGGTTCTTCTACGACAGCATGTGACCATGCTGGTGGCCATATCCGATTACCCTATATTTCTCTTCCCCATGGTTCCATTAGTGTTCACACCAAAGGGTACAGCTTTACGATGCGTAGTTTGCATATTATCGCTTCCTGAAAATGGGAATAAACTTCATCCGAACCCTGTACGATACCATCTGCGATAGGTGTCACGGAATAACACCGAAAAAAATAGCACTGATACGGAACTGCTTCGAAATCTGCGAACGACGGAATGACTTCGACAGGAGCAACGTCGACACAGAAGAAAAATGACAAGAGAAAATCTTGTCGAAGTAATTCCGTGTCCGCGCTGTTACTTTCGATGTTGTTCCGTGTCCTTATGAATCCGAAAGGCATCTGTTGAAGCAGATCTGTTTCGGTCTACTTCTGTCGACGTACACTCTTAGAAAAAGGGGAGCGATATTTCTCAAAAAGAGTGTAAATTAGCTAACTCCAGTTTCACTCCCTTTTCACTCTGGGAAAGGAGCAAATTTACTCCATCACCAAATGTAAAATTGCTCTCCTTCTCCGTGAGTAAAAACGCTCCCATCAGAAAGTGATAGGGATGTCATGCAAATACGAAAATTCTCATATATACTATGTCGCTTTCGCTCTCGTACTGGCGTTGACCTGCCTCTGACGTGTACTGATTACAGCACAATCAGAGAGTGGACCACCTCTTGTAGGTTCCGTGGAGAGTCCGTGATATTAGTCCCTTATTACCTCATTTAATTGATTGGATGAAGTTCACGGACACTCTACTAGTATATATTCGAGATCTTCTATACGGATGAGATCACGTTCCAAAAGGGTTATCAATAGGAATATGAGCTTGTTTATGGTCTGGACTCTTTGAATCTGTCTTGAATATGTGGATAACAGATGATGAAGTATCCGTGTTTCATCTAATTCATAATTCATCTAATGAGACTAGGCGAGTCATACGGCAAGGTACTAAACAATCCTGCGAAGGACGATTCCAGGGGGAAAGGGAAGGGAACTTTTGTGTACTGTACGAAATGCGAGACCCTTACCTCCATCTAGTGGCCTTGCGAAGAACTTCAAGGTGTTCACTTCAATACGAGCGATGAGGGAGCATTTGGTGTGTAATAAGAGAGTAAATTCGAAAAGGTCATGGTGTGCTCACTTTTTACTCCCCAAACGCTCGGAATTTTCTTAGAGTGTATTTCCCTGTCGTTGCCATTCTTTGTCATAGCATTTCTTGCCGAGCTATTTCTATGTCTAATTTATTTTTTTTTTGGAATGGCAGTGGTGGAATGGCAGCCACCAAAGATGTCGCACGAAGCCACTTTCAATAAGACGTTAGATAAGCAAGGTGTTTATGAAGAGTTTATGAAAAAAGCCACGCTGGTATATGAAGCTCTCTCAGAATTGACACATTGAATTGAGACGCATTTATGCTGGGATGTACACTGAGGTACAAACTGTCCTCATGCTCGGCAACATCCGCTTTGGGACCAATTACCTCGGTAGAGAATAATTGATTTACTCAAGCGACATATCCTTTGTGGCCAAACTACTCTTCCATAAGCGTGTAAAGTCTCATCAGAATCCATGCAGCGGTTATGGAGAAATCACAACTGAAAGCAAATTACTGCATTCGGAAAATTTTGTCCCTGGTCCCGTCTAATCCCCTGGTCTAGAAAAAATGATCCCATCCCGCGCACATGCTATCACGTGGAAGACGACGAATTATTCAGAGAATCGCGAATTTGTATGCACTAAGGTTAGGCGAATTTCTGAACACGCCTAAGGTTAGGCGTGTTCGTCACGTGCTTAGATGAGCTCGTGGCCTATAGCCTAGAAGCCGTCATCTTCTAAGGCTCTCTTCATTCTTCTTCAGTGATATTCTTTAATTCAGTCATCATGCGTCCGTTTTCTGACAGCAACCTGTGAAAAGTCCTCTCGCTTTACCACGAAGGCTATAGCCTCAGGGAGATTGCCAAGTGATGCAATGTCGACAGATAGTCAGTTCAAAAGATACAGATAGAGCATTTTCCTGATCGCAAAGGGTCGAAAGTCGGTTCCCAGAAACTGTAATCTCAAGATAAGCAGTTCTGCGACCGTGCTATTACCTCTGGGAAGCTGGAAATAGCCACACAGGTCACCAACAAGCTCAGAGACGACGTGGGAGTAGACGTAAGCGTGAAGACCATTCGCCGAGCCCTCCACGAAGCTGGTTTAAGTGGGGCAGAGAAGAAAAGCCGCAACTCTCGCCAGGAAACATCAAGGCCAGGAATTCACCAGATGCCACATGGATTGGACGATTGATGAATGGAAGCGAGTCATTTGGTCGGATGAGACCAAGATCAACCGTTTTGGCTCAGATGGACGCGCCTTGTACTGGAAGCGCGAGGGGGAGCGTCGCCAAGCTCGACACGTCAAACAGACTGTGAAGGACGGAGGCGACTCGACTATGACCTGGGGCTGCATGACGAGCAAAGGAACTGGCTACATGTGCAAGATCAACGGCACCTCAATCAGCAGCACTACAGATCCATCCTGAATGACGAATTGTTGCAAACGATCGACTGGTATGGTCTCGACGTCAACCTAGTTATTTCCAGCATGAAAACTACCCAAAACATAAGGCGAAGAGCGTCCAACAGTGGCAGAATCAACAGCCGTTTGAGATCCCGGAGTGGCCAGTTCAGTCTCAACCCCATCGAGCATCTCTGGGAAAACCTCAAGCGGGGCCTCAAACAGTACGAGGAACCTCCCAAAAGTAATTCTGCAGGTGTTGGAGTGGGTCCAAACAGAGTGGAACAAAATCGACCTAGAAACATGTCGAAGATTAGTGGAAAGCATGCCTAGGCGACTTGAGGCTGCGATAAAAGCGAATGGGGTGTGGACAGAGTATTGAATTTGTTGAGTAAGGCAATAAAGTTGAAGTTTTGGCATCGGGGACAATACTGTCCAAATGCAGTCATTTGTTTTCAGTTGAGGGCCAAAACGTCATTGACAGACTATTGGTATTTTATACATTGTTTAGCATTAAAACTCGGTGAATAAGGGTGCTTTTCATTCGCCATCCTTGGGAATCTTCTGTAAGAGAGCTCTAGTGTGTCCTATCGTCATTCCTATTCTCACTACAGGCCTTATATCGGGAGGTCACAAAGTTGGGCTTGGCTGCAACATGCCGGAATGAGAATGAGATTGTCTGCAAGTGCATGGCACCACCCCTCCTCCCTCATGACGAAATGGAACTAACACTCGATGACATCTCACAAGATTGCATGCTCCACATTTTTCCGAGAAGAGTCAGCGTTCTTCTTTTTCATTGAGTGGAATGCAAGAATGGTTAATTTAGGCTGGATTAGGGTGACTGAAATAATTGTAAAAGAGAGACCATTTTAAAATATATCTGGCGGAAGAAAAACAGCAGTTATTTGATTTAAGAGACATCTGGCTTTCTTTTAAGACAATGACGAAACATGAATAATCTGGCACCAGAATTTATCATGCAGCGCAATAGAAATCTCATTCTCCGCTCTAATGCAATTCTCTATACGTATAACTCTGGCTGTTCGAGGCTTCGAAATCTGCACCTCCATATGAAAGGCTATCAAAGTGACTCACAAAATCCATTTTCATGTATGTTTTGTGTTCAAGAAATGCTTCTTCCTCTTATGGTTCCTGGCTTACGTGAAGGAATACTGGATTCAACAGAGGAGTCCTATCCTAGTCTCCGTTCATGGATATCCCAGAAGAACAAACAACAGGGTCGAGAGTTTTCATTCAAAGTTGAACAAGGCAGTTGGAGTTCCTAACCCAAACTTCTGGATTTTCTTAGGTATAGAATTTGTTGTACAGTATATCTAGATTTTACCCCTGCAAACAGTTCCAATTGAGAATTAGCACAGACTGAAATCAATAGTTTGTGCAATTTCTTTTAAAGAAACCCCTCCCGTTATAAATATGGGATCCAAACGAATAGGATATTAAGAGGAAGCCTAAACCCACAAAATGTGACAAATTCCGTTTTCTTTTAGAATGAAATGATTACTGTTGCAATGAAAGTACGTTGGCTCGACTGAGAGGATGTAGTGCTCTTGTTGGAGGGTTGAAAGCATTTGCGTGCCCGTTCATTCCCATTGGTGAAAGCTTGTAACCATTTATATTTCATGTTATTTTCAGAGAAACTGCAAAAAATGGAGTCGCGATTCACTGGGATTACTAACGCTCTGAGGATGGGACGGGCTCCCTTAAGAGTTTAGAATTATGAAATAAATGTATGTCCTCCAAGATGAAAGATTGAAGAAACTGGAATGACTCCGACTCTTGGGTCGATATGATAATTCCACCTTTTTTTAATGCGCGTAGTCATATCGTCGCCGCGCAAAGGAGGTTTCAGCAGGGAAGCTCCTCTGAAGGAGATGTGGAATACCAAAAGTCTGCAGGTGGATCATCTTCTCGTGCTCACCTATCACAGTCTCAAACGTCTGCAAGTTGAACGGCGTTGCTATCCCAAGATCTCTCCTTTAATCGGCCCCCTTCGAGAGCAAGGTTTACGACCACGTCATTCCCTCCCCAGTCCCCATCAGAAACACAATTCCAGCGCATTTTGTCAGCACCTACATCACCCTCAGCTTACTAACTGCCTCATGCCTCAGAGCTCTACGCTACAAACATGTCCACTTCTCGAGGACTTGTGCACATGAACCCTTTCCCATCCTCTCCCATGTCTGAGTCTCCTGATGGGCAGATGGGCATGTTGGGAGCCTTTCGCATTAAAGGCCAGGTATTGAATCATTCATTCGGAAGGATCATGGACGTGTACTACGCTGAAATTCTTTCAGAACATCTACTTCCTGGTGCAGGAAGTCCGTTTGGACGACCCTGGCGATTCCAAGACAAAGACCCAAACCGCACGAGTAGGAGAGCGACACCATTTCTGAAATAGCGTGTACCCAAAACGATAGACTAGTCGTCAAACGGTCCGGACATTAACCTAGCTGAAAACTTGTCGTCCATCCTTAATCGAAGCGTGGAGAAACAGAGGAGGAAAAGTCTCGACGAATTGGATCGATGTTCATACTCTAGGAAGAATGGCAACGAATTGACTTGTCGACCAAAAGTCATTAGATCGCATCGATGAAGTGAGATGTTTGGCTCTCATTGATTCAGTGGAGATCGACTCAATTATTGACTTTTATATCTCTGTAGAGTATTGTATGGAGAATCTGTGATAATTTTTTCCCTCCAAATTTTATCGGTTCCAGCAGGAGAAATTCACTAAAATATGACGGCGATACATGTTGTGTTCCGGTGTAAAAGCGCCTTTAACTGTTAGGGAAAAAAAGATATTGCCTATGTTTAAATACATTTTTCAGTGCCTACATTAGTGATGAATCCAAATCGATTACTCATAAATATGGAAAATCCTTACGAATTGATTATGGTGGTGGTCAAATTCATGCTTATTTGACAAGGCTTTCGTAAACATGTTCATAGTTTCGCGGTACGTCATGCTATTAAACATCAGACCATATTACAATGGTCGCGCCTTCCACCTTCAACGAATAACATTCATTTACTGATCCTATGGTGATGAACGGGTAAAGCCCCAAACACAAAGGATGAGCGCAAATTTTGAGAGACTACTCACTGGAATCGCATTGGTCTCCCGTCTTGCAGGCTCTCTTCTCGCCTTCTCGCGTGCAAAAAGGCACATCGCAGTACTCCCACTGTATTCCGGACCCGGTTGAATCCTGGATGTTGCACCAGGGACCACCCGGGTTCCCTTTCGGGTTCCGACAGTAGTTGTGCTTGTCGGTGAGATGATCCGGGAATGCCGAGTCTTTGTATTGGAACACCCTGTCCTCAGCCAGGCTCGTATCATCCACCCATGGATTGCACGGGAAGCCTGAGATGCTCCTGTTCTTCGTGCCCATGTATTCCCCTCCTTTCTGACTCACCTTGCATTCTTTCACGCCTGAATGTGAGACCAGAAACGTCGGACGAGTAACTTCAGTGTTCCATTCCCTGAATTGGCTAAGATGCTCCTGTTCTTCGTGCCCATGTATTCCCCTCCTTTCTGACTCACCTTGCATTCTTTCACGTCTGAAGGTGAGACCAGAAACGTCGGACCAGTAACTTCAGTGTTCCATTCCCTGAATTGGCTGATGAATATCAAAATGATCACATGAATACTTGAATTGACTATAATACAATGCAGTTAAGCGTATGCGCACCTATTGTGGGAGAAGAGAGAAAAATAAATTGAGAGAAGGATAATGTATCGCATAAGGCGATCGAGTCATGGCTATCGTGCAAGAAAATGCTCAACACGTTTTTTGCAGCAATATTTATTTCCTACAAGACGGATAACAGCTCTTCAACAGCTGCACCAACTTCCGTAGCTGACAATGCCTTGTACTATGTTCGTTGTGAGCAATTCTCCCAGGAAGGCATTCACAACTACTCTATTCTTCTATCCGAAATTAGGCCCCATGATGACAAAATGGTATGACTCTTTGAAGTTTCGACTCAATATTTATCGCCAAAAGGTTATAAGCTTTCAAAAGATACCCATATCATTAAAATCAGACGCACCGAACGAATATGAAACTCTCAGGAATGAGATTGAGAAAGGGAGGATCGTTCCCGTCATGAGAGACTCCTAATTTCTCTTTTATAACATTATTCCGTGAGATCCGTCTCGTAGCACTCTAACGCGACACAACTTTCGAATTCAAACAGACATGCTTTTAATCAATCATTTCGTCTTTAGTGAAACCCCAATCGCTTGCATGCAATTGTTCAGCGAGTTCCGCTTCGTTGTCTTAAAGTGTGACCCGTCGTTTTCATCTAAGAACACCGGGGTAGAATAGGGAAATATTTTTACCTTGGCTCGAAGGAACCGATCTGACCTGTACGATCTGACCCGTACATTAATCATGCAGTGAAACTGATAATCGTGTTTCCGGTCGTGTGCGAGAGAATGCGTAATGTGAGACCTCCAGTTTTGAAGCTGAAAGGAAAAAGCGACTTTTGGACAGGTCCAATCGACAATCGAGTTTCAGGTCGAATGTGTTATAATGTGCGAGCACGCAGCCCGGGAAAGCGTTCGGTATAAAGCTATTATTATTGCCGAAATAAGGCCTTATTAGATGAAAATCGGAAGATTTTTTTGGACTTTTTATTCAAGAAGTATCGCCTCCGGTCGTAAGCTTTAGATTGTCATCTGACTCATGAAAATTCGTTCATCCATCTAGGAGGAGTTTCCCCAGAATGACACCCTGACACGGACAGATTATCCTCATATATATTATGCATTAATCTATATAACTAGCGGCCTTCTACCCGTACAAACACTTCTTTGTCAAAGCTCATCAACTAAGAATAGTCTCAGTCTAGTTCCCGCTGCCAAAACTTTGATACACAGTTCATTATGGAACATACAAGTATATGCACGAAAGATATACTGAAGCACAGCGTGTTACATCTGTCACTATGCGAAAATTAAAACCAAAATTAATTCAACATGAATAAAGTAAATATAAACGGAAGGAACCATGAAATATCAGGAAACGGGACACACGTGGGAACGAAGCGGAAAATTCATATCATAATGTAAAAAAAGAGTCCCGACAAACGGACTCGACAAAGAAAAGAAGTGCTTCTTTTAGGATCACATTGTCGGTAACGGTGCCAGTATCAGTTTTCCTCTGCTTTGGTCCATCTATAACCTGAATCTTCTGCAAATACTCAGAGCGAACTCGCGAGCAGACAA